TTTTCGCAAATCCACATTAGTTGTCAAACAAAATGAGAAGTACATCAAAAAACCGCAATTTACTATTTTCACGAACCTACAATTCAAAATAATGTGCAAATTCTACTAAAATTGGTTGGATGATGCATGCGAAGAAATGTTGGGTTTTGAGCAATCTCTTGTTTCATAATTGTTGAGCTTACTTCCATTTCGAGTGAAGGCGTTGGGTGAAGAGATTCGAAGCTCGGTTCCTCCAGAAGACGACAGATCATTCCTCTTGACCAGCTGTCGATTAGCTTTACTGCAACATTCCTGCTGACGCTGTTTCCGAGGTTGATCTGCTTCGATTCCGGTGAAAAGGTGCTAACCTTTCGTCCGTCACATGACGACCATCATCAGAGCAAGGTGTCATCGTCACAACCAAATTTAAACTAACGAGTCAAGAGAATGCCGCTGTCGTCTTCTGGTGGAATCGACTTCCGAATCGCTTCACCAAACACTTCCGCACGAAATGAAAGTAAGCACATCAATTACGTAAAGTAGACCTTCGCAACCATAAGCAAATCTGGTACATGATATGGGCCATTGTTAGTTAATTGTAAGTAATATGAGATGTATTCACTCAATTTCGTTTAAGGTGATGGGGATGTTGAATCTGCAGTCCATTCCAGTCGGGATGAGAAGAACTTTTGTACAAGCAAGGCTGTGTGAAATTCCATGGAATCGTTGTGGGGAAATACTACTTAAATAAAATATGGTGAAAACATATCATATTAATGAGTTACTGGTAGTCTCGAGACACTACTTACATACGAAAAATAATTGTAAGTAGTGAGGGTAGGGAGAAAGAGAGAAAACATGATAAATCCATGCATCTTCATAACTTCCCATTAAACGACAAAACCTGATTAACGCAATTGTGGTGTAGTGTTGGTTTAGCCTCGTTTTCGCAACTTCCTCGTCGCGATGTGGAGACCTTGTGAAATGTAACAATTCCTTCCTCTTCTTCTCGGGAAGATTTATGATGAGTTTCAGCCTCGGACAGTTGACTTGGTACGAGCTCAGACGCCTCGTCAGTGAGAGGCGCAATCTTTTAACACAGCCATACAACTTGTCACGTTGATAGGTCGTAACTCAGTGCCAATGATGGCACATTTCGGTGGTGAGGCAAACTGAAATGTCGACGAAACGTCTGGCAATGTGCCAAGTCAACGGTCCGAGGCCGGTGATTACGAACACTATGACAGAGGAGCAAAGGGGGCTGCGACCCAACAAATGGCTACACCATTTTGGTTGTCATATCTACGATTTATTGTATACAGTCATTTTACAGCTGCAGAAGGTGGCCTAGCATCTCTTTGAAAAACTTTATTTATGTTGCACTAACATTTTTTATCCGATGCTCACTCACACTTTGGCTTAGCCACTTTAAGCTTAGTTTTCAATTTCCCAGTCAGATTGGCGACACTTCATCCTCCTTTCTCTACAGTTTTTACTAGCCATGACCAATCCTCCACCTTTATCCCCTTTCAAGTCTATCAATTGATGATAGAATTGTACTGTTGTAGATACTGTGACAAATTGAGGGTTGACATTCACCTCTATACTTTTCTTGACCTCCCCTTTTAACCGACATACTTTATACTGTACCTTGATGGAATAATTGTTCTCCCTTAATGAAGCGAAAATTAATCCAATACCTAAAACACTTGTTTTTAATGCTAGACTGGATGGATTAGGGATCTTGTTATATATTTTTTATTACATGTTTTGATAGCCCATAAATCCTGTGAAATTAATCCAATATCCAACCTTTAAAAGTGTAAATCATGAATGCGCCATGTTTTCTCTCATTTGTTTGCTCGGCCGTTTGCATTATCTCGTAATTTCAGTAAATCTTCTTTATTTGTTTATGTTTACGGTAGTTACCTAATCCTTTTTTGGGTTGTAATTAGCTGGTGTAGTGTATTGACATTTTAATTTACGTCTATTTCTCACTAAAATTCTATATATCTGATCTAGTTCCCTACAGACAGAAACCGGTAAAACTCTTCCCCAACTTCATTACGCGAAGTATAAATGATAAAAAACAAATATCACTTATCTGTCGAGGAATAGTTTTTGTATAGTCTGAAGAAAGATTGTAGCAAATCATTCCATGCCATCATTTGGTTGAAAAGAAACCAATCTTGGTTGATTCAACTTTAATGCTAAAGAGCTTGATAGTTTGATTTCTCCAAAGAGACGTCCGCCAACTTATTCTCTCTTTCCCGCACACTTTGACACAAGAAGAAAGTCCAGTCGGCATTGTCCAGAATTTGTCCGAACTAAAAGTGGCCCAGCCGTAGCGAGCAGGTCTTCTGCTCGACCCTTCAAATGCCACAAACGAACGCGCTCTCCACTCGACATGCCAGTCCTTATGCTCCCAACTTCAAGGCGCTAATGACTTCTACGAGGCAAGTCCTTGTCTAGTCCCCTTTTAGGCATGTGAGAAACATTTATAAGTAGTGTTTCGGGACTATCAGCAAGTCAGTGATATGAGATGTATTTACCCAATTTCGTTTAAGGTGAGGAAGGATTGGTAGTTGAATTTTTTCACAATCATATAAGTAGATC